TATTTCGTTACATGTCTCTACGTTTGTATAGGTTAACTTCGGACATTTTTTTCGTGATTTTTGTATTAAACCCGACGCACGTCCATTTGTTGGTAGTTCAATGATAGTTGGGTTTAATTTTCAAGCTCTTCCCATCTGTTTTGTCGATTATTTTCCGTAAATATAAAATAAATAAAATAAAATAAAATAACTATAAATAAAATAAATAAAATAGCTATTAAAACCAAAAAGGATATTATGAACCAAACAATTTACAAAGACATGGTTTTCTCTCGCTTTGCGAACTTTGTACTTTGGCTTTTACGTCGTTTCTTTCCTAAAGTATGGAAATGTTCATCAAACATACTTAAGGACCTTCCCGATTAAACAATGTGAGAGATAAAACCGCCGCTTTGAGATTTATCCATTAAATTGGTAGCTGCGCTGCCACAACAGATCAGACACGCAGATCTATAAATTTACCATGCATGTGGACTGTACAACAATGGGGTGATTGTATTCATAATCAAGTACTCGTGTACGATGAATTTGTTCGTCGAGTCGATTTGTTGCTCTTTCCCTGCGTTTAAGAACGTCGCTGCTTGGACATTATTAATTATTAAGGCACTATTAATAAGTACTCTATTTTTCATCTTCTGCAGGCACATCATCGCTCCGCCGTACCGCCCAACTGCACGGCTCCTACCCCCATCTAACAATATCAGATGTGCGTGGCAATCTCAACACGAGGCTAAGGAAGTTGGACGCCGACGATCAGAAGTACTCAGCGTTGCTATTGGCCAGTGCCGGGCTGCATAGAATGGGGTGGGGGCATCGGATATCCCGGGTAAGCTTTTATGTATGTACTGGGTGCTAGGTAGACCTTTAAAGGAGATTATTATAATTATTAAGGCACTATGCTTTTATACACAGATATGTATGTATAAATAAACACCGCAAGTGTACCTACTTTGCGTGCTCACAGCTATTAACGCTTAGTTACCGCTGCTACGCTTCAGAACGCGCCCTGCCGTTATCGTGGTTAAACATGAGTAGAAAACGCGAAAAATGTCTAATTGTACCATTAGAAAACCACACAGCTGTAGTGTAAAAACACCACAGCTGTGTGAAGATAAATAAACAGGAATGTTTCGCTGCAGTTATGTACATACATGTACTCAGAATATGCATAATTTATTTTAAAAACGATTTTTTTCATTTGGAATGAATTTCGAGAAAACAAATAGGTATGCAAACGAGTCTATGCCGCATGATTCGTAATACATTGTGTCTTTTACTTGGTACGATAAACTTGTGGTCCTTCTTTTGTAAGCCATGAATATCAAACGAGTGATACATTCGTATATTTGATGCAACACAGTTTTCGATGAGATGCATTGACTGTCAATGATGAGATGATAATTCTTAAGACCTTAAAATTTTATAAAAATATTCTATAAAGTTTGTTGTGGTTTTTTTCTGGAGTAAAGTTTTTTCTAAACACGTATTAATAAAGGAATTTATTATCTTATTCTGGTATTATTTTACTAGATTAATATTTCACGGCTTCTTATAATCAACAAATAGTTGAAAAACCTAATGGTTTTAGGATAATTCCTAAATACGTGCTGCGTCTTCGTCTTCGTTTTAATCAATCGCTTTAGTGCCGAAGGAGGTTTCCCGTCACTAAATTGCGCTTGTGTCGTCATCGGAGGTACAAAAAATGTGGCACGCCTGGTTTTCATACAGGTCGCGGTACTTGCGATGTCTATTTAAATATATGTCTGTGTATCATGGTGACAGGCGCAGTGGCAGTGTCCCTAAGATCTTTGCGATTTAAAGCTCTGAGTGGCACTGCAACTGCTAAGGACACGCGTGTCGCTTAAAACCAGGCGCACGACTTGTTTGTTCTGTCAGTTGGTACCATAAAAAATCTTTCAGGTTCTCCCCTGCGCGGAGATGAAGTACGCCGTCGGGCAGGGTGCACTGGCGGTAGAATGCAGCAGTAAGAACGAAGCCATTTTGAATATGCTTGCGCCTTTTAATCACGCCGAGACCTATTGCAGGATTCTGGCCGAAAGGAGCTTCCTTAAGACACTGGGTTTGTTTATTTTGTTTACGAGTTTGGTTCTAAGTAGACCCTATACACATGAATTTAGAAAAACTTTCATAGGTTTCTCACAGATGGCGCTATTTTGTAATTTCATTTCATTTCATATTTCATTATAATACAAACATATTGCTAACAGAATATATGTAGACGCAATAGTTGCTGAATTCAGAATACATTATAAAATACGGTAAAGTTATAGTACAAGCAATAACACAGTATTCGTAAATAGTAAACAAATTCACGTCAAGGTAATACAAAAAAATAATAAAGTAAAATGTCATGAAGTAAAATTAATAAAATGTCAGATTAAAAATTAAGATTATAGTAAAGCTAAGCTTAAACTTAAAAACTGCTGGGTCTGGTCAATGTTTCGAGGTAGAGTCCCGTGGAGAATATAAACTTAGACTCTGAACAATTGAATAGGTCTATCGAGGAGTCGGAGATAAGCAGCTGATTAATTAGTTTAAGCACCCGAGGCAAAGGATCTTACTTACTGGATCTACACCGAGTAATAGGCAGGGCAAACAATCCTTGTCGTTGAAGTAATTTTTCTTAGAGTTGTTCCATCTTCTTATCAATTTATAGGTACAATACAATCAGCGCGACAGTACCACAACTGTCGTCTGTTTGTTTTGACCTGATGCGCACTGCCTCAATTTGCATTTTCTGAGAAATTTGAATAAACTGCTCAAAAACTGCAAATATGCTGTTTATTACAGTTCAAATGCAGTCCATCTGCATGTACGCCAAACGAGATGCTACATGAAATTTTGTGTTATTAAATTACAGAAAATACAATAATTTGAAATACACGGTGCCTAGTTAAATGTAAAGACATAACAATATGTTGATGTAATGACTGAAATGAACCTTAATTTTTTAATTTTTCTGCAGGTGGAGGTTGCAGCGCTCCAGTAGGCGTATCAACAACATTGAAACCCTTTGACTCCCAATACAAATTCACCATAACCGGAGCAGTATGGAGCCTCGACGGTACCACCAAAATCGACCATACACAAACAGAAATGTTTACACAAATAAAGAAAACACAAAAACACAAACTCAGCCCTACTGAAGAATCGGAAAACAAAAAATTAAAAACCGATGATGACATTTCAAACAAATTGAACCCTATTGAAAAGTTAAATAAAGATATTGACGATAAAATTAATAATTTGAATTGTGAAGATTTTGGTGATAATTCCAAAGAATTGACTGAAAATGTTTTATTCTGTGGTCTGACAGAGAACCTTAATATACCCATAGAAGTAATAAAAAAATGTGATAGTATAGGTAAGGAACTAGCGAACGCATTGATAGAAAAAGGTGCTTTAGAAGTTATGAAGGTTACTCAAGACTTGATTCGAAACTCTACTGCCAATAAAAGTTCATGATTTTTAGATATTTTTTTGTTTATACAGGGTGTAACAAAATGCGTCAAATTCTTATTCAGTTGACGATCGTACTGATAATAATAACTGCTGGTTAACCGCGGAAGACGATAAATAACCCGGTGGCATTCATATGCATTAAATCAATTAAAAATTAGAAAAAAATAGTTGTATTTTCTTCTAAGACGCTGTTTTTATTTTTCATAGAATTACAACGAACTGTTATTACTTAAATTTTATGAGAAAAGATGGATAGATACCCAAAAATTGTAGCATTAGTCTTGACTTATGACGTCACAATTTTATTGTTCACGTTTTCACAAAAAAGAATTGTTCATAAAATTACACATGACAATCATCACCAATTAAAATGCTAAATGTCTACTGTCAAAAAGAAAAGTTTTTCAAAATGGCGATGTAAAAATGTTAATCCGCTCCGGCCGTTGACGAAGAATAAAGTATCTCCAACGTTACCATTCAGGGCAAACATGTTCACGAATTTAATTGTACCCTGTCTTGTGTCGAACATTTTTTGACTATGGCTCCGGCTGTTGTAACGTCGTTTATGTGATATGGTATGGACCTCGTTTGTTATTAATACAAACGAGACAAGGTTCAATTTATAAGAAAAATTTTTGACAGTTTGTGTATGATAATTAACTTTATAAGTCGCATATGAAACGAAATACTGTCGTAACTCAAAATAGTAGAATTGATAAAACACGACTTGAAAATTTCAAAAATATTCGCAATAAGATTCATTCTGTATTTTTGTTGAACTTTCAATTTTTATATATAATATTTTTAATATTTTCAATTTCAATTCTTGTTTTCTCGACTCCATCATTTTTGAGTATACGCGACCAGGATATGGTTTCATGTGCTAAGTAATTTACAGGGTGCTCAAAAAAGTAAGCTAATACTTTTTGCTCTATAATTTGTGACTTCCAATGCAGATCAATGATAGTGGTTTATAGTTTTGTATTGGTAAGTAATAAGCCGAGTACAGATATATGCAACATTTCCCATACATTTCAATGTGTTCGTGAACATACTGCGCGCTCTCGACACGCATTGCAAATAATCTGTATTGAACTTAAAATAAAGAGAGAATTTCCAAAAAGATACGTGTAAAGTTCTGTTGCACCTTTTGGAACTTCGCCTAGATATCTGTTGCTTTTTGTTTATTTTAAATCATTTATTTTTAGGGAATAGGAGTTGTTCATTTTATAAAGCACATAAGGTACATGTTATGGAACACTTTATTATAAATACGAAAGTCATGTTTTTTTCCTTAATGTTTACTGTACACGCACTATTTAAGTTGGGTTATGGTTCACTTGACTTGTAGAAAAATTAAAAATGCATTCCAAAATGATTAATGAATGGCCTTTTTCATTAGTGGACTTAAATAGATGTTTATATCGAATTCTTAGGTTTTTACGATTGTTACACATAGGAAATGAAACTATTTTTCGAATCTAAATTGCTTATATTTGTGTTTTTCAAACCTTTAAAGGGCTCGAAACCTAGGTTTCTATGTAAAAAACCATATTCGCGATTCCAATCCGAAAAATAGTTTAATTTCCTAGTCACTATTTGTTTATTAGTAAACATAAAATTGTTGTTATATCTGTATTTGTGGATATAAAATATGTTACTAATAAAAAACCGATCGTATAAGATTCTGGGATCTATTCCTATTAGAACCAAAATTAGTTTTTAAAATCGAGTTTTCATTTTCTTTATTCCACTAATAAATTAAGTCCTTTCCAAAACTATATATAATATAGTTTAATGTATTTAGAACAAAATAAATAATTATGAAAATATAATATAAAAAACAAAATAAATATATACTTATTAGTTAAGTACTTTTATGTACTTGTGTACATGTTTTATATTTTGCTTTGGTGACATCATTTATTGTTTGTAAATATTAATTGTTAAATAAATTGATTAATGAATGGGATGATTTTTTTTAAATTTGATTTTATAATAATATGGGACATAACAGGTAGATTATCGCAATACCTCACACGTAAGTCAAAATAAAGTTTTTTGCTTTTTAAGTTAAATATACACTTTTTTATGCATTCTATAGGTTTCATATTTCTTTCTTCTTTTCAACATGGAACCTATAATATGGACTGTGAACTGGCAATCGGTGCTATCTCAATTTTGACAACTAAATAGGTGACGAAAAAATTGTTTGTGTCATTTATACATATAACAAAACCAGTTTTTTGCGATTTCTGACATTTCGAGTACTCTTACCTCGGTTGGTCCCATAGAGACTATTGACCCTTGCCAGAGACCGGATCGAATGGCATAAAAAAGTTTTGTAAAAATTGCTTTTTATCTTGCTGACTGTATCATTTTTTCAAAATCGGTGAATGCCAATCAAAATATCTTCAAAATTCATGGATAGTCTTCTAGAACCGTTTTCCTGTAACTACAATGATTAATGTAGCTGGCCTTGCTGCCCCGTCTCAAATTTACACCCTGTATACATAACAAAGAACTAGAAATAATTTCTTCAGAAAAATTGTTCTAGATGGAATCCTGCTTTTTATTCCTTTTATAATTTTTAAATTAAATTCGGTCAAATAGTTCGCTCTAGAAAAGACACAGTTTCTGATTGGGAGAGGCAATCAAAATCAAGCTGCTGATCACGCGCGATAGAGTGACTGTGTAAAGGGGGCTATTGAGCAGCAAATAAGTAGATAAGAGTGCCTATACCCCTGAAGCTTTGGTTTTGTGACTATCACAAGGGGTATTTACATAACTGCTTATTTACATAGGCACATCGTGGTATTTACATAACCTCGCAAATCTACATCTTTCTAAGATCTTTATCATCAATTTATAGAATTTTGGTTGAATTAATATACCTTCAATCGGCTTGAAACAATGTTCCCTTTTTGTCTTTAAATAAAGAGAAACTCGAAAATGTGTAGTTTCCTAAATGGTACGAAAAAACTTATACTTCTACCACAAAAGCAAATTCGCCATCGATACCATGGACGAAGTCAGCATCGTGATGATCTGCAAATCCAACTTCAACGAGGATGAGATTTGCAGTGGCAAGATGCTGTTGTTCGAGAGCCTCGGCAAAGCTGAGCAGATGCCATCTCGCCGGAGCGATGGAGGCGTGAAGAGTCGCCAGGATGTTATCACACTCCTGAAGGAGACTGATCCGGACGACGTGCCTACATTCGCGGCGAAGGAGCTACACAAACTGCCCCCCGTCACGTTCGACCACGTCGATGTTACTAGGTTGCTGAAGGATATCACTTCCCTGAAGTCAAGCCTGGCCGAGTTGCAGTGTAGATTGGAGGCTTCAGATAACACCATAAGTGAGCTGCGTGCCCAAGTTTCGTTATTAAGCAACGCTGCTTCGTTATGTAGGTCACCAGACCGACGTGTAAACACGCGTCGTGGGGCGCAAAGCGCATCCTTCAGCAATGTCGAGTCGGCTCAAATGGTTACGTCACCGATCGCTACTGCCATCGCACGCGATGCGCCACGCCCTGCTGCCCGCGCCTCCGCCCCGGCGGAAAGGTCACGCGTATGCATGTCAGCCCCTGCACGTGCATACGCCGCTGTAGCCGCTTCAACCAGCCGACCCGCCACTTCGAAACTCGAGAGGCGGCAATCGGCTAAGAGTAAAAGTAATCCCCGTGTGCCTGTCTCCGAAATTGCAAAACCACACATGCAGACGGATCAATGCTACGAGGACGGCTTCACAAAGGTGGTGAAGAGTGTAGGGCGCTGGTGGAATTCTGTACATTGTAATGTAGCTTGCAATCCACATTTCACATAAGTGAAAGCGTGTGCCGCTGCTGGTACCGCTTGGAATGTTCAGTACACCGCAGATCTCGCTTAGTGAGTTTAACGTTCGGGAGTTCATAACGGTAATGGGTAATGATGATAAATCCAGTTACAAAAGTATTTATTCCGGTTTTAACAATATTTATGATCTTAAAATATGTATTGTACACACGCCAGCTATATCAAGCTACACATTGACGTATCTTGTTCCATTACAAATGGAAGCGATTTTCGAACAAAAATAAGTAGTCTGATGTGCCGTTGTCCGTACAAGAGATTTATTTTTAGTAAAATGGTAAACGGTTCAACAAATAGGACGACGATGTGTTCTCTGCCGCGATCGGGTAGAGAGTGACAATGGAATGAAACAAAATCAAAATGCAAGGGAAAGAATGGAACAATTCAAAATTTTAAATTTAAATATGAGTAGAAGAAGAAAAAACGATACGAATGGAGAGAGGAGATAGAAAAAGGTATGACGGTGTAAGGAGGTCACACCGTCACAAGATGAAGAGGAAGCCCACCAGCCGTAACCTGTGTAGCACAACACCGACATGATCGAACTTTTTGCTCCGTTCGGCAACACCGACGAGGCTGCTGTACCTGTCGCGACTACGTTATTCCACGAAGTCTGAGGAGATAGTGGAGTACCTCAGGCTAAAAGCCAAATATACCCTAAGGGTCGAGCAGTTGGAGTCCCGCCACAACGCAAATTTTAATTCGTTTGTGGTGGGAGTGCCGGCCGAACATCTGTCAGCCTTCATGAAGGAAGAGTTTTGGCCGAAGGGTGTCATATATCGGCGATTTCGCGGCCGGTTACCTGACACCAGATTGCGCCACACGTCGCCGACAAGTGCAATACGTGTACATTAGTTGTTTGGTTTATTTTATTGTCATATTATATTGCATGTATGTTAGTCCTTATGGTATATATTTTATGGGTCATGTGGCCTGAAATAAAATATTAATAAAATTGCAGAGAAATAAAGTTTTTTCGGTCATTATCGGACTAGTGTTCACCACCTAATGTCCATGGCATTTTTATTACTTAAATATTCAAGTATATTATCGTGATATTATTAAATAATATTTCACGATACAATACTTCAATATTAAATATTTTTACACTGTAAAAAAATCGAATACTTCACCACCGTTAACACTTGTCCGAGAATGACCGTTATCGATTTAGTACACAACCGTCATATTCCAGTTTCGTCAGAAATAGTTTTTTTCATGATTTCAGTTCAGGGGGTCTACTCTCGATCTCCGTCCGACATCTGTTCGTATCACACGTCTTTTCATTAGGTCAAGTATTGCTTATTTGGCAGTAATTGTTTCGGACGGAGATTGAGAGTAGACCCCCAGGTTCGTCAGGAATGACGAATGTGGACACCAATAACGACACTTTCGTCATACGGATTTGGTACACATCCGACAGATCCCTCTTTCGTCAGATAATTTCTTTTTTCCGTATAGGTGAGAAATTTACTTATCTCCGTAGTATATATACCTTTTTGGGCCACTTAATATTATTTATTTTTATCTATGATTAAATTGAAGTGGCTCTCATGTTTTATGTTGAACCAATCATAAAATGATATTGCTGGGAAACTAAAATCGTGTTACACGGTGTAATCATTTAATCTCTCCCATTCACGTTAAATTTTAAAACATACATCCAAGTAAGCACAAAACGGAACCCCGTTGTATCTTGGGACACCAAACTTGGTTCTGGTATGCTGCCCTCGTAACGAAAAAAGTCATACTTTATACAACAGTTGCGACTTTTTCGTTCCGAGGACAGTATGGGTGTTTTGGGCAGGGCTCCGAAATGAATTCCGTAGCTCTAGTATTCATAATAAAGGTGTGGTTGTTTGGTACATTATGATAATGCAACTGTATACTGCCCTCCGTATAATAACTAACGTGGACGAAATTTAGTTATGGATCAGCAAAATAAGACACCTGTTTTTTTTTTCAATCTTAGTTTGTTTTATTGCTATTAGCAACAAAAATCAGAAATAGCATTAGTTGGAGGAGGAGGATTGCATTAGGAGGAGGGCAGTGTACAGCAAAGGGTGGATTAAAAATAAATACACCAATAATTTTGTACAATACTATTATTTCACAATAAAATCTCAATCAAAACTCACAAGCATCCTTAACCAGTTGTGAACACAAAACAAAACTTTAATAACGTTAACAAACACTCTATATTATTATTGAACTTGCATTCTCGACGTACCATTATTGCTTCATATCGATTTTACAAAATGGCGGACATGTAAGCACATTTTGAATCACAGCCAATGTGCATTTGGTTCAATTTTAACATTTTTATATTCATATTTGAATTGAGGGCGATTAAATTATTTGTTACATTAATAATTATAATTTAAAGTCGTTATTTACTAAAAAGTAACTTTAATAACTACCAAGGCGATTGTTCTAATTTGCATTATCTGGCTGTCGCCATTTTGTAAGCAAACGAAAGAATAATTACAGTAACATTTAGATTTTGTAAGAAGTGACAAGGGGTTAACATAGTATGGGGTCTATAGTACTTTGTCAAAGTAATTTCGAGTTCTACGTCTTATTGACCACAAAAATAATATAATAACATAGAACTCTGTAAAAAACACAAAGAAAAGTTGAATGAGAATTGAGAAAATATACACTTAAAACTTGGCAAAAAAAACACTAGATCGAGCATTAGAAAAACGAAAAGGAAAACCGATAATTTCAATTAAAATGACATCTCCATAGTAGAAGGCTAACAAGTTACTTTTTTGATTATTCTCCTTAATGGCGGCCCTAATTTATTTTTATCGAAAGCCTTGACAAGGTTGCCCAAGGAAGTCTTGACTTTTAACGTTACAAGTTGCGCTAGTAATGACTTCCCGTCACAGGTTGCGCTAGTAATGACTTATCACGTCTCAGGTTGCACTAGTAATAATTTATCACGTCACAGGTTGGGCTAGTATGATTTTTCGCGTCTCAGGTTGCACTTGTTTTGACTTTTAATGTAATTGTTAGCTTTGTAATTCAACGGACAACTTCTCAAAAATCGCGAGAGTCAAAATATAAATTGCCAACCTTCTCTTTTAATACAAATACATATAATAGAATAATTTAATGATTTTTGTCCACCCAATTATTGTGGATATATAGATGTTATCGGCAGATGAAAAAGGCTTTATCATAAACACAAATCAGTTCTATTGTCTGTGGTATTCAAGTAAAAAGTTTGTTTCCTGATTTTAAAGCCACATGTACACTGACTACGTCTAATACTGTAGATGTACAAAAAAAATCTTTTAGAAACGGTTACGACACAAATTCGAAACTGTGGTACCTTCAGCGGTGCGTTCAATGTTCACATTGTGTCTAGACACACGTTTGCGCGCAATGTACACGCAAACCTTGAACGTTCTGCAGAACGCACCTCCGCCCGTTTCGAATTTGTGGCGTAAATGTTACAGTTATTTTCGCACACGATCCCAAAGTACTGAAGATCGTAAAAAAATCTCGGTGTAAATGTGTTCACCAAAAACACACGTTCGATGTTGGTTAATGGTACGTATTATGTTACGTACACTAAACAAAAAATAACTTTAAAAGTTATAACGATTAAGATTCGTCATATAAACAATGATATTATGATTCAATTAAGTACATATGGGATAAGATAGAAGCAAGTTACTTTAAATAAGATCTAATTTTTATTCCAATCACTTTCTTTCAATGTAATCAATTTGTTCGATAGTCCACGGTACACTGCTTTGGTACTCTGATTGTATGCAGAACTGACAATCACCTCCAATGTCACATATTATGTTCACCATAATATAATTACCACTTAAAACCGTATTATAAAAATAGTAATTTCTCGTTCAACTACATAGCCCAACAATGTTGTTGAGTTTAACACAAGCTACTTACAACAAATTCGGTACTTGCAAAATGATCAAATTTGTAAAAGAGTATCCACAACCTAAGCGGGTGCTGTAGAAGCATGTTTGATTGTTCTTGTGTATCTGTTCTATATCGCAGCAATGTACAAGAAGCTTTAAAATCATACTTAATAAAACCGACAACAAAATAGATCAAAAGTTAAAATTTAACAATAAAGTCCTACCAAAGACACTTGATAAAAATACAAACAGCTTTTAATTCGTAGACCCATGCTTTATGTACTTGTTTAAATAAATTATTAACATCTCCATTGCAGATTGCTGACGAATTTTTACAGGAAATTAATTTTATTTGTTAGTGCCATGACCCGTAAGCAGGCATACGCTAATGTAGGTTGATTTTTTGGTACCACATAAAGCTCGGGGTCAAGTTACTTTAGTAATAAATTCTCTAACTCGGTGAGTCAAGTTTTTCTATTGTGATGTGTGTAAATGTTTTATCAGATTCTTTGGCAGAGTTTCGTAAGGTGTTCTCCGGTTACTCGAAGATTTCAGGATATTACTCTACGTCCTCTTCTTGCAAGGATTGGTTGCCGCTGGCTTTCATCGAAGCCCGAAGGCGCTCCGACACTTCTGGAAGTTTCTTGAGGAGCAAGTGGAAGATTGGAGCTGGCATGGTTTGTTGGAGAACCTGTTGAAAAAAAAATGTATTGTATGGAAGGAACGTAAATAATATGTACAAAAATAAATGTTTGTCCTGTATACGTTCCATTAATAACTCAATTTTCAATATGTTGTACGTCGATTATGTTAGTTATAAGTTGCATGTGTGTGGAGCGGTTTAGCCAAATATTATTACAACGTTAACGAAGGCGTTCTCTTCGTGGATGTACGTGGGGCGCTCTATAAGTTTCCGGAATGAATAAGAAAAAAAATACTGTAAATGGTCAGAAATCAGTTTATTGTTTCTCAAAATATTCTCCGTTAGCGTTAATGCACTTACTTTTTCATACGAATGAACCAATTTTGAAATCATTTATGCCACTCCTCCATGACAATCTCTGAAACATATTATTCATACTCTTCGACAGCCTCTTCAGGTGATGAAAATCGTTGACCGCGTATATGGTTCTTAATTTTTGGAAATAAATAAAAGTCACAAGGTGCCAGGTCGGGACTGTACGCGGGATGGCTTATAATATAAGGTCAACGCTGTTCACCTTCAATAATTCATTTGTCTGTCTGGCCGTGTGAGAACTGGCATTATCGTGGTGCAAGATAATACGGCGTTTACGGTTAATTTTACGGCGTTTGTCAATAACTTCCGGCAAACAAATGGTCGTGTACCAATCCCTATTCACGATACAACGATTCTTTAAAGCAACAGTAACCACGTGTCCAGTTTTATTAAAAAAAGAAGCAATCGTCCGCTTAGAGGCACTTTACACGCGCGCCACATGGTTTCGGCTCATGTTGAAAGTCCTATACGGTCCTATTGCTGCTTTCTTTTGGGATCGTAACTATAAATCCATGTTTGGTCACCTGTTACTATGTCTCACACCAAATTTGTCGCCCCTTCGTTGAATCTGGTAACCATGATATTGCACCAAGTGACGCGATCTGTTTTTTGAGCCTCAGTCAAATTGTGTGGGATCCGCCGAGAGCATAGCTTTCTCACACCCAAATGTTTGTGTATTATTGATTGTATTTGACTCATGCCTATGCTTAAAGATGCTCGAATCTCGTGCTATGTCACATGTCTGCCTGTTCTGATCATACGGCGCACGGCTCGATGTTTTTGTTGTTCACAGCAGTGGACGGGCGACCATCACGAAATTCGTCACTGAGATTTCCCCTCGTTTGAATTCTGCAAACCAGCTATAAATAGTCGTCTTGCATGGTACTTCATCGCCAAAAGAAGTTTGAAGCCGAGAGAAGTTCCGCTGAGCTGTTAAATTACACTTGTAAAAACAAGTGACAGTCAGATGAAACAAACTGTATTCTACAGCCAAAGAGCTCCATTTTCAAATGTTGTAATTACTTTTTAAATATTGTTTATGTAAGTGGCCAGTACCGGGAACTTATAGTGCGCCCTATGTATTCAAATAAATATGATACACAACTATACTTTGTTTTTTTAGAATAAAAAAACGTAAAGAAAGAAGCAGGTTTCGTAAATTTTTTTTTTACATAACAAAATTTAAGAAAATGATGATCTTGAATATTGATGTGATGATACTGAAAATTGATGACAAACGACATTTATAAAATTTAAATTCGTCATATATACTGTAAAAAAACAATACATTTTATTATTTTACTATGCTATTACTTTCTATGTTTATTATCATATTCTGTAATATTTCGACTGGAAACTTGTATCCATGGTCACGAAATAAATTAAAAAAGATAAAATCAACAATGTCAACTCTAAGGGTCGTATTCTAGAACTCTACTCAATGCTCAAGTCAGGATTTGAGTATGGTTTAAAGCACTCGAAACAATACTCAAGTCCCTGCCATTAGGGCCGTATTTCCAGTGCTTGAAATCATACTCAGATTCTGACTTGAGTATGATTTAAAGCACTGAAAATCATACTCAAGTCCTTGCCATTAGGGTCGTATTTCCAGTGCTTGGAATCATACTCAAGTCTGCTCAAGTCAGGATTTGAGTATGGTTTAAAGCACTCGAAATCATATTCAAGTCCCTGCCATTAGGGTCGTATTTCCAGTGCTTGTGTTTCAATCGCAATCCTGACTTGACCATTGAGTAGAGTTCGAAAATACGACCCTGTCTCCTCAAGGCGAGCGTTTATATTTATATAGTTACGGGGTTTATATTAATATATTTACAAGTGCGATTATCATATTTTTTGTAATCCAAAGTAAGCAAAATAAGGCGTTTTTCCACGATTTTGGAGTTTTTGTGCACTAAGCATTTCTATTGTATTTATGGTTCTGTGATTGCCAACAACATTATAATATTGTATCATTGGGATCCGGGGGTGGATACCTGGTAACCCATAGTACAGGTCTAACCTAGTTTAGACGTGAATATTAACACGACGATATCGTACAAAGCGAAAATGGCGGAGTGAACTCAAGTATGTGTAACTTCGCGTACTGTTGGCACACGTGACACACCCACTTACTACTACTTACAAGCAATTCTACTGCATTTATTGTTCTGTGGTGAGCCACAATTTATAGTAGAAACAAAAAATTTTGCGCAAGTTAACCTTTAATAATTGTTATCTTGAATACGGTGAAGAACTGAAAATAATATAGTCGGATATTTTTGTTACAAAATGTCAATATTAGCACACGTGTTGAGAATGCATTATCATAGTACCCGCGACCACGGTTGTTGCTAGAGGAGGTTTTTTACATAATACCACATACATAAAATTTTAAAATTCTTTGGTATTGAAATAAAATATTATTTCAATGATTTTGCAACATTTATTAACAAAAGAATCAATATTCACGAAAACAATCTGCCTAGCTTTATCGTTCTGGAATTTTATCAATATTATATTTTAAAATAGCTGAGCTGCTTTTTCGGCTTACAGATTTCATCTGGAAGGTTTGTAAACTATTCCAATGTGCCATTTAGGTCATGTCACGACTCGAACATCCGCAATGTATAGCATACTATAAGCATCGATATATGTGGATATTTTAATTTATGCAGACTATCCGCGGACCCGGATGCTGATATTCGCAACAACCCTGCTCACGACACTCAAACAAATAATCTGGCTGTAGCAGACTGTACAATTGAAGCTGAAGATAAAACAAAATGTATTAATACCAGTCTTTTTTTTTTAATAATACTAAGTGATGAGACGAACATGTCGTGCGCCTGATGGTAAGCTACACGCCTGTCCATAACAGTTGCAGTGCCACTCAGAGCTTTAAATCGCAAAGATCTGAGGAGCACTGCTATTGCGCCCGTGACCCTGAGACATAAGTTGACAAGTCCCATGTGCCTGTAATTTCACAAGCACCCTTACCCTTCAAAACCGGAATACAGTATTGTTGACATTACTGCTTGGCGGCAGAAGTGGCAGTACTAACCTGGACGAACTCTTTCACAAGGAGCTCGACTGTTACTAAAAAGTTCTACAGAACAAGTGCATCGACGATATAGTTAGTTGTTTTCTTACTTAGTCATATCCAAAAGTAAAAAAAAAACCAACTGTAAAACTGAAAACAACGCGGCAAATATAAGTTAACATAAATTTGGTATGTGTAACAAAAAAGATATAACTAATACAACAAACTAGATTATAATTAACACAAATGAAAGAAGGCCGTCAATCCGCTACCTGTCTAAGGAGATTCACATACCAATACACGGTAAACGTTTTTCATGATACAGGCCATATAATCAAGTGAATAGGGCCAAGAAAAGTAAGATGTTTTGTTCCAGGCAAGAATTTAAAAAAATTTAAGTATACTTACACTAAGCAACTGCTGTGTCTGACCGCATACCGCGACGGCCTGTCCGAGGTGCTCCACTCCCGCCTCCAGATCTCCCGCCGCTAGCAGCTCCTCACCCAGCTGAATCTGATGATATAAATTGATAATAAAAAAACAATTCTTTTTAGTTTCAATAAGTAAAATTTATGCAATCAGAAGTCAAATAAACGAAACTCGTAATAAAAAATTTAATCAATATGGATTTGACACATCATCAACTCATTTGTACGTCCTTTACAAATTTGTACTGTTGGGCACGGGTCTTACGTTTTCCGAGGTTTGTGAACCTTCTTCTTTTTTTTTTCTTTTTTTTTTAAAATAACGCAAACATGGCCCCGCACTAGGGAAACCCTGTGTCGCGGGTGCCATGGACACACACATAGACAACCACAAATTACACCCAAACTCACGAGAGAAATAAATGTAAGCCATACAAACATTTCTCCCGGCCCGGGAATCGAACCTGGGACCTTTGCGTGGCAGTCCGGCATGGTAACCGTTCGGCCACGGAGGCAGTTAGTCTTCGACGTGCAGGTTTCATAGGTTTCATCACTATGTTTTTTTTTTTACTAAAAACCTCATGGTAAAGTCTGAGTTTCCCGGAATTTATGTGCGAAATTTAGCACATAAACTCCGGGAAACTCAGACGAACTCAAAAGAGCTCTGATTCGAAACAAACCACCCTATTATATGGTTATTGTACAGATAACTGGTTGACTTTACCACCTCTGTCAACAAGACCATGAGACCTGTAAAGGGCCCAAAACGTTGGTTTGTTTGAAACAACAAAAATACATGCGAGGCTACTTATATGTTGACAGCTTCATAGGCGAGAGGCTTGCATACCGGTTTTTATGCTGTCGCCATAACTGAGGTCCAGGATTCGATCCCCAGCCGGGTCAATCCCATATCTTTCTATATAAGTTTTGTTTATAGTGACCTATCAACCTCCTGGTCATGCAGGAAGGGCACTATGACCTGTGGGAGCGAGCTTGCACAGGGACCATCAAAATCCTAATCCCGGATCAGCACGTTTGCAAGTGCTCCATCCGGTTCTCTGTAAGGCCGTGCCTTAGGTGAGCCGCCCCGGGTGCTACGGCACCCTCCCTATATTCCAGATAGGTACCGGAGCTGTACCTTAATTAACGGTTGCCACCGCTGAGCCGCTGACTCTAAGCCGACTACCAAATCTCCTCGTTGGTGGCGGAGATGTAAGGCACGCTCACTTCCCGAAGCCGGATGAACGGCGTCTCTCCAGTTTCCAAATTCCTACGCGGCCAGAGGGACTAGAAAATCTCTAGCTTATCCTCTACTAGCTCTCCGGGCTAGTGCCGGATATGCCAAATGGCAGTGTACTGCGGCAATGTCAGGACATAGCCACCGTCTTATAGGGCAACTCACGTGACCCGCGCGTCTCACTCCTTCTCATTTCTTTTAGTCTCCTGATGTTCCCACAAACAACCAGCGCTTTAGTAAGAGGATTACTATTGAGGCGATCCCTGTGTTTTCGCCATAGGAATCTTTAGGTAATGCATGCATAATAACCATTAAATTATATTAAAGTTAGAAAAATCTCACTGAGGCTTTAAAATTAGATGAAGGAAATCTTAAAAAGCCCAGGACATTAAACAGAAAAAAGAAATTTACCTGTTGCAGGAAGAACCTCTGCATTGCTTCGTGGTCACTCATGTCTGGCAGTGGCCCTCCCAGTGAGCGGGAACGGGTTGTATTCTTCTGAACATTTTGCCGACCTGTAATTTGCAATTACATATTACTGTATAGCAATTCAATATTTATTTGACTATCTCTATGAAAGAATAGGACCAATTTGAGAAATGGTACTTTGTTAAATTGGTACGGGTATAAGTGTTTCTGAGTAAAATCTCAGATTCCATATGAATTCCATAGCTCTAGAATATAGTACAGGTTATTTTCTAGTTTGAACTAGGTAATTGGTGTGGTTATCTGACACCTTATAATTATTATTTATTAAATAATCCCTTATGGCATATGAGGAGTTTTTTATCACTTAAACCAATAATAATGAGTACATGCTTAGATATTACCAAGATTTCAACATGCATTTAAAGCTCTTCCGTATTAATAAATCATAATCATTTGGCATTAATTCAGATACAAAGCTACAGGGTATGTAAAGAGCCCAATAATACTTGTCTTGAATGTGTCCACATCATGACATAATTTTAACAAGTTTTAATTTAAAAAGTTTTTGCAAATGTTAGACATTCAATGTTAAAACAACTTTTTCTGAAACTGAAAAAGTGTATAATTAGTTTTTTAAAGCTGACTCAACCATAGGCCTTGCAAAATGTCCGAAATGTATGTTTGTTTGTATAAATACACAATTTTAGATCCAGTAAAACAGTTTGATTTCTGTTAGTAATTATATAATTAACAACTACCGTGGCCTATCGGTTTGTAGTGTTGTTGCTGGATGAGGAGGTTATGGGCTCAAATCCCGATAGGACCCCTAATTTAACTTTTCTAATTTGGTTTTGATCGAGGTGCACTGGGACATGCCCCAGAGTGTGTTCTTTTATTCTGGTACACATAATAAAGGGAAGCTCTAGTTTGAGACAGTTAGTATGTTTATCTGGCACATTATTATTACTATCTCTTTATTCTCATATTTTCTTCAAATCTTTTTTTATTACATGCCTCAGGAAGCTTCTTTTTAATTATTACGAGAGTCATATAAAAGTAATTCTATAACCGACTTAGAAATGTTTGTTACCTAAATTGGTACTACCGTAAATCTAGCACCCTGTGTACACTGTATACAATACACCAGATAAGCAAGGATGTTTCAATATGTAGTGTGATGTAAAAATCGTACCACCATTCATAAATACAGTACAAATGAATGAATACTTCTTTGGCAAGCGATTCAATGTCGCAGCGAAACAATTTAATCGCATTGCCATGCCAATGAACGGATATTAATAAAACACAATGCATTATAGCGTAACGAAAGCAAGAATAATCAAAAATGCAAGATATTTTTAGGTTATAATAAGAAACCGTAGGACAAGAGAAGTAAATTACAGTGCTTCGTTGGACGAGAAATTAGGGATCGAAGACTGATATTACGCCATAATTAATAGGTTTATTCATTACAACATAAAATACATACGTTCTCTTAACTTTTTCTTGAACAAGGGATCCTTACGACGTTGTTGATCAAAATACACACAGTATCCTAAGAATAAGGTACCAGCTATCCCAACGGCAATTCCTAGGGTAGTGCGAGTGATTTCCATGTTTTAATAATAAAAGTCAACGATTTATTCACAGAAATAACAGCCCACTTTCATAGAAAAATTTTTGATCCGCCATTTATTTTTTCAGGAGTAACGTTGGCAGCTCTAGACTTATCGTCACATTCAAAAAACAAAACCCATAAATTGATCTATAGCCATAAAACCGACAAATGTCATGCTATCCTCATCACACTCACGTGACATTAAATAGGTATCAAGATTTATATACATAATACGATACACTTAATTTTGTTAGATAATTAATACCTTCATTTACTATTTAACGTTATTAATAAATACGCAATATTTTAACACCCATTTTTAGTTTGTATTTACTAAATATTATTGAATAATATGGTCATGAATTATTCTGGATTTTTCATTTGAATGTTGCCTGATTAAAAATTTACATATAAATACAAGGTTAGAAATTTTCAATTACAAGCCACTTTTCCTGTAAAAGCACCTGGAATTTTCATTTATGCCGATAGATCCTTGCAAGAGGTTTGCATGTGATATTCAGAAATGTCTTCAGGGTAAGTATTTCATTATTCTCTTATTTTGTAACCTCTGGGACGACAGCCGACATGAAATCAGTCGCCATCTTTGCTTCAACCTTTCAATCGCCTCTTCGGATTTGCGGGCGTTTCATCGCCGTTTTTCAATGTTTTGCTCAAATAATTCGTTATTAATCGCGTCAAAAGCCACGTAAAAAGTTTCCGGAGTGTCACGTAACAGTTTAGTGTTAAAATGAGTTTCTTCGGATTTGGACAAACTGCGGATATTGAAATCGTTTTCGACGATGCTGACAAACGGAAGGTTGCCGAAGTAAAAACGGATGATGGTAAAAAGGAGAAATTACTGCTTTATTACGATGGGGAGACAGTGTCAGGTAGGGTAAATGTCACTCTGCGGAAGCCGGGGTCGAAACTGGAGCATCAAGGTATCAAGGTCGAACTCATAGGTCAGATCGAATTATTCTACGACAGAGGAAATCATCATGAGTTCATATCGTTGGTAAAAGAGCTCGCGCGACCAGGCGACTTATTGCAACACACGTCATATCCATTCGAGTTTGCGAACGTGGAAAAACCTTACGAAGTCTACACGGGAGCTAACGTGCGATTGAGGTATTTCCTGCGAGCTACGATCGTCCGCCGTCTCACAGACATCTTAAAAGAGGTGGATATCGCTGTACATACACTATGCAGCTACCCCGACGTCCTAAACTCCATAAAAATGGAAGTAGGCATTGAAGACTGTCTGCACATAGAGTTTGAGTATAACAAATCAAAGTATCACCTGAAAGACGTAATTGTTGGTAAAATATACTTCCTACTGGTACGTATTAAAATCAAACATATGGAAATATCCATAATCAAAAGGGAAACTACTGGTTCTGGGCCAAATACATTCACAGAAAATGAAACTGTTGCAAAATATGAAATAATGGATGGTGCCCCAGTGAGGGGAGAGAGTATTCCAATTAGAGTATTCTTAGCTGGTTATGACCTGACACCGACTATGAGGGACATCAATAACAAGTTCTCTGTTCGGTATTATTTGAATCTGGTTCTGATGGACACAGAGGACCGGCGTTATTTCAAGCAGCAAGAGGTAACTTTGTGGAGGAAGAGTGACAAATCACGATTACCACTACACAACCCACATGTCCCTCAGACATTGACTCATAACCCTCCAAGATTGCATAGTGCCTCCAGTGAAGAAAATTCAGCCAGAGGAATTTCTCCATCAATTCCTGAGAGTTCAATGGCACGGTCAATTTCACCGTCTATGGCTGATGGAGATAAACATAACGGGCCTACAGAGATGGAGCAAGAAAAGCCTGAAGTTGTGACTAACAAACTATCTAATACGCACATAACAAATAACGAAGAGGAATCTGATGAACCAGCTGAAACACCAACGACAACTGAGAAACCTTTAATTGCTGAAAAACCACAAATTGCAGAGAAACCTCAAATTGCAGAGAAACCTGTACTGACCCGACCGGAAAGTGTTGAAGCGGCGCCAAGTCAATAGCCAATATGCACCTGTGCGGTTGACATTACTGTCGCCGATGAAATGAACTGTATGTTTTCATACCTGAAAACAATTGTTTAGATGGCAGATACCTACTGTATTTCCATGAAAACCCAATAATAAAAGTTGTTAACATTGCCCTTATAACCTTACTATTATCGTCATCTAAATGAAGTTGATTTATGTAAAGAATGCAAATACGAAATTCCACATGACTTAACTCTTGACTGTCAACAATAAAGAATAATGTTAATGTTAGAACTTGAACCCTGTGGTTACATCAATCTCTATTTCCTATTGCATTCTCATCAGGAATTAACAATAGTAAGTTTATTTGGGCATTAAATGTAAGTGTACATTGCTACTTGCTCTAAATATAGGTAAGTGTTAATATAGCCTTTATTACTGTTGATGGAAGTTCATTCTTTAACAGCTTTAAGATAATTTAGTGTTGGGTTGAAGAAAGAATGAGCTTATATTGTCACCAGGTAAGTTTTTGTATGACTCATACCAGACAGATTGTATTTGATAGATAGAAGAACCCTTTAACATACAAGCTGTTATCCACCCCCTTTAATGGTATTTGTAGAAATTATTATGCGAATAAGCATGTTGAAAGACATTTATTGCTACAGAATTACTGCAAAAGTCACAACATTATGTAGAATGCAAATTTATTGTCCCAGATAGAAATTATTTATTCTAAAATTTTCATCATTATGTTGATGATCTGCTTTCTTTTTTAAAGTAGTCCATTATTTACGTTCCCTTCAACATAAAGTTTTGTTTATAAATTGCAATTCGAAAATGTCAACATTTTGTTATCTGAGCATAAGCCCAGTTGATAACAGCTTTGTTTATTCATTAATAGTTATCTAAAACTACATTAATTAAACCAGCCTGTGCTTTTAAAATAATGTTCAACTTCATTAGTTATTTTTTAAATTATTAGTTACTTAAAATTTTTTCCTTTATTTATCATTGTGGGTTTTATACTATATTGAAAGGGTACCAATGTAATTATATACGCGAAGTATTGAATTAAAACGTAACTATCATTTCTAAAACATTTACATAGTGCAATATTTTCTATTCTTAATTAAATTTTAATTGATTGAAGTAAAGTTTTAAAAAAAATTATGATATGCTTGCATTGTGATACCTAATGCGATATCAATCAATAAGTAATGAACTGTTTCTGAGGAAACTTCTCAATTTTCAGTAAATCACTGGACACTTGTCTATTTTAAGTAAAAATGCAATGTAAAGAAGATAGTTTTGACATAATTGTTTGGTCATATGTAATGTTTGGCACACTTCATGTAACAAAAATATGTAAAATGTGTAAACATATTGTGTACGTATATTGGACTGACCATGTTGTGTATATTTTGTACAGGGAAGATATAAGGGCATTGACAAATGTTTTTTCGTTCTTTTACAATTAATATGAATTCAATAAAGGTACAGAATTTTTGTTATAAAAAAATAGTATACTTGTCGTATACAAATTTTAATTGCGTACCTAAATGCCCTTACATTGCTTGGTAAGTTAGTCACTAAAGGCGCGTTTACATTGTCATAGTGTTAAGGAGAGTGGTAGACTTAAACACAAACTGTTGTGTACACACTCACCTCACTAATGCACTTAATGAATAACCTTTACCACGTGTGTTTTAAAGTCAAGTTTACTAACAAAATTATATAACGTAAATAAATATTTGGTGTTGGATTAGTGTGAAATGTCTTCAAAAGATATTTATCATATTTACAATTTCCTCTACTTAGACCATTGACTTTCTACAATTATAGTAGACTCACATAGACACAAAATGATGATCATTTGTCCATCTTAGTCGAGTGCGTGTCGTAGATACCTCGTATCATTGGACAGCGTGCAATTAACATTGCACGTGAATGTAAAGACATAGTGTTTAATTTTTAACTAAAGTATTGTTGCTGTGTGATTAATATAAAAATTAAATGTAACCGTTCGTAACACGTCGATCGGACGTTTTTTGATGAACTTTGTCTAGTTACTGTGAGTCTATTATATAGTAAGTTAATGACTTAGACTTTAGAAGTCTGAAGTTCTAAGAATCTATTGTGGGAATCATTATTAAAATCACGCATTAAACGGGTCGAGGGAGGAAATAGTCTTGGATAATATGACCAAACATATTATTGAGGATATCAACAATATATTGATCGAAAAGCGACATCTTCGTCAGTTGTGACACTTGTAAGGTATCGACTGCGGTTTTTTTTTTTTAAATTTCACAAGGTGTTACTAGCGGCGACGAATGCCGAAAGCCAGTATAAAGATCTATAACAAAAACACAGGAGAATTCGACAACTCTGTAACTTGACCTATCGCTCAGTTGGTAAGAGCAATGCTGGGGTACACCAAGGTCGTGGATTCCAGGCCCACCGGGTCGAAGAAATTCTTTTTTGATCGATTTTTATATTAATAATCATGTCATCAAGTCATCAAGAATGACCAAACATGTCAAAAAATCTTATTGACATGGAATCGCATTACGCAGATTCAGAAAAAGCTTAATGTCCCTGTAATAAGACCGAAAACGACGACGTGCGTTATGTATAGGTTCAATACAAGTCGGTATCGAATCAGCCTCGACGTGTGCTCGGCGGCATCGACACCCGAGCGGCTGCGTCGAGACACCCGAATGGTAGAGTCAACGACCGAACAGAACGACGAACGACGGCACTGACTCCCGAACGGTTGCGTCTACGGCGAATTGGCTTAATGCGGCTAATATGGTAAAACAGGATCGCCTCAAGCCTATTATACCTCATCGACAAGTGTGGTAACTCCTGTCAGAACAAAAACATTGCTCGCTCGTTTAACTGAAAAGTGGAGAAGTTTATACAGTCACACAATACTGGACTTATATCAGTGATTTGTTAATCTTTGGGATCATAATTAACCAAAAAAAATTAATAACTTACCTTCGACGTATATTTGTGTACACAGCATCAAATGAGACGCAACTACGCACTTAGCAAGACGAGATAATTCGTTAAATTTACAAGACGACTTGAAAATTTTCAAAAGGGCTACGTGTCGTGATTACGTAATAAGCATTCACATAAATAAATTTGTTTATTAATGTGCCATTTGCTAATAATTAAGTATAATGCAAAAATCAAAATTTCGAATCTCTTACACTCTCAAAATGTGTTTAAATTATTTATTGAGTTTAAATTAAACGCGAAGGCGTCTTCGCTATATTGCAAATGTTTAGAAACAAGTTTGTTCTAAGATGAACTTGCAAAACAATTTTAACGTATGTGCCCATTTCAGGGTCCAAAATGCCTTTATTCAAGGTTCAGTTCACTACTTGAAGATCACGAATAATTAAGAAATATTGCCACACACATTTCCAGTACAAACGGAATCATGCAATCCTGTAATGTCAGATTTGCAATTATGAGGTTCGCCATTTTATCCTCTATAATTTATTCTACCTGTCATTTAAATTATATTTATTTACTACAACATATTACGTATAATTTGAAAACATATCACAGCGTTGTTCAAAACAATGGCCCTACGTGGCATTTGTATCATACATCCAATTGATTTCAATTGAAACTCCACTCAATTGAGCTGTTGTCGGGATATTGAAAATTTATTAAGTTCAATTCTAAATAGAGCTGTCTTTATTCTTTATCGATTATTTGAGATAAAAAAGCAGTAGCAAATTATACTAGATCTTATCAGAACGATGTAGACAGCGCATTGATATCATTCAACACTAAATAATTTCACTTAAATAGTCTTAAAAACCGATTGTTTCTAATTTCGTAATGGCGTATTTTTAATTTTTCTGTAACGAATAATAGAGTCACTAGATTTTAGAGTATGTCAAGCTTGACACTTAAAATTGAAATTTAACTCTATGCCACTTAGAATAAGAACCATCAAAAGTGTGAAGCTAGATATACTTTGACTGTAACAACGCGTACACATAGGGCCGCGCAATTTCCGCTTACATTCATGTCTATGCCTTAACGGCATAAAAGTAACGACAACATTTGGTACGAATTTTAAACAATCCTGTATCCAATAGTGATACACAACGAAATTAAAATAACATCAGTATGAATCAAAGAGACTATTGTCTGTAAAATGTATACTAAAACATGTAATTATGATGTAACATAGTTATTAGGGTATGTATAACAAAAGAGATTTGACTGTGGCCGCTTGTTGGTTTGTGCCGTAAAAATGCGTTTTAAGGCTTCATAAACATATACGTGGGCGGTACACGTTCCTGAAGTTCATGTTAAATATATTAGTCATTTTGTACAATCTGATACAAATTGATATCTGTTAGTATTCGCAGAATGACGATTTCGTATTTTGATAACATTCACCGAAGTGGCCGATGACCCTGTTATTTATTGATCTCCTGCAAGTACATTATTAATTTTGTACACCTGATACAATTTGACATTCGTTAGTTATTTTCAAAACTACCGATTCGAACCCCGCTAACATTACGAAGTGGCCAAATGACCTATTTATTTATTGATCACACTGCAGTCACCGCAAAAGATAAAAGCAATTTTTAGACGCATTTTACCTTTATCACTGTAATATCTATCCAGAAAAGATTTATATAAAATGTGTGGTAATAATTTTCAGGTTATTTTCTACGTCATTTTTGTGGCAATTTTGATTATTTAAGTATTCGAGTATATTATCACGAAATATTAAATAATATTCTAGAATATTCAAACAATAATTGCCGTGGAAATTAGGTAGAGAAAAATAACTTGAAAATTACCCAATAGGCATTAATGTAATGTTAAAAATACGAATGGTCTTTCGAATGTTACCACTTTAAGGCTGAGATTTATAAAACGGGTTAAGTAAATTTTTCGTATTATATATTACAAAACGATCTTTGGCAAACTTACAATTAAGAAGCAAAATTCAAAGTTTAATTTAATTTTTAGCTTGAACTAAGGCAAAGTACGTTTGGTAAATACGAAAAATTCGCTTAGTCCGCCATCTTTACTTAATCAAAGAAATAGTTCGTTTTCAAATCTCAGCATAAATATTACCGTTAAGCGTTAATTTGAAATTCTATTTAATAATTAGCTTCATAAAAGTTAAGGGGCCGTTGAAAGATCTCTCTGCGTTTATTTTTACGATACAAACCGTTATTATAGTCAAAAAAGATCACTAGGAATTGCAGAACTGATTTAATGTTGGTTCCACAGTCAAGTATATTATATTATTGCATAGTTATTATTATTTTATATGTAAATTAGGTAAAAGTCCGTGTTATGTAAACATTCTGTTATTACCTTCAGATGTTTTGGTTTTAGTATCATGTTTATAAGTTATCTTTTTTTTAATGAGATTAAGGGCATGTCGATTATATCATATTGTTAATAAAATGTATGTATAAATTGCTGATTTTTGTTTTTGTTTTTAATGTTTATGTAATCCTCTCGGTTAGAAAAAGAGAGTGCCCACATCCTTTTTGAACAATAAATGACTTCCCAATTGTGTATGGCAAACTATATAGCGCGTTTAGCGGTTACAAGAAGACAACATTTTAAGCGATCGCTAGTATTTCGCTGAACTAAAATCGCTGTCAATGTAATGTCATGGCAGAGCACAAGTTTTGCGCTAGATGATGGTCCGCGTCTATGTCTTGTGTTGGATACAAGCAACCGGCAACTAGAAGCGAATATTCTATTTTTCTTCTTCTATTCAGTCGCCGGTTGCGGCAGTCGGACACTGTCATCATATATTCACTTCTAGTCGCCGGTAGCTTTTAGCGAACACAAGACACACGTATGCGAAGCGCTTAAAAGAACGGTGATACGGAAATAAGGTAATTCTAGCGTGGATAGTTAAACAGCGGACCGACTAATCCAAATCCTTATCTATTTCTGCCGCCAAGCAATAATGTGAGCATTACTGCGTTCCGGTTTAGAAGGGTAACGTGTGCTAGTGAAATTACAGGCACATGGGTACTTATCAACTTGTCGCGCAGACTCGAAAATATAATTACTTATTTAAAATTAATTATTTACAAAAATTTGCTTTCATTCCGGGCTAAGACATTACTAAACCACAAACAACAGTGTTTATTTGTATGGCGCTGTTCAAACATAGACAATTTAGTGTCTTTTGTTGGGTACAAGCAAACGGTAGCTTGTAGTGAATATTTTGTGTTCATATAATTAACATTTCTCCTTGTGAAAGAGTTCATCCAAGGAAGTACTGTCACCTTACCTATTCCTGCCGCCAAACGGATGTGAGCTTAAAAACCGGAATGCTATATTAGCATTCCGGTTTTTAAGGGTAAGGATGCTGGTGAAATTATCTACAGGCATATGGGACTTGTCAACTTGTTCGTCCCGTCAGTTCGTATTTGTACAGACGCAGACACTGCTGTTCCCAGTTGCTTCCACTTGATACACACCGATTGCCAATCAAAATGTGCTCTATATAAGCAACTAGAAACTGCTGCTGACATGGTTGACTTGCTTGCAAGTATCGCCGACGACAACGTCTGCATCGCCGTATAATCAGCACAACAAGCAAAATAAGTGTTTCTTCATCGACATCCATCGTAACAGTGACGGAACACTCTGAAATTCAAGCACGGAACTAGTGTGAAGTAGCAATCAAGTAAAAATCCGGTACCGGTTGCCGGTACCGCACACAGCGGTTTCTAGTTTCGGCAACCAGCAGTGCCTACGTTTGCGCAGCGCGAAGTTCATCGTTCAGTCAAGAAAGCACATCGCTGTACGCTTTACCATATTTTAACATTTAAGTACCTTTTCTGTTTATAATAATTTGAGAATTAACTGACCTCTAAGAAACAGTGCTTTTACTAGTGTGGAATTTCGGGTCACACTATTAAATTCTCCTTCCACTGTCTGTCAGTTTTTTGTAATAAAAATAAGTTCATCCCCTGCACAGAAAACGATTATCAAGAAGCTCGTTGTGAGGCAGTATTTGAATCTATGCGTCGGTGTTGCCTGATCCACAAGCCAACAGGTCGCTCACTCGTCTGCTCAGGATACAACCTCGAGCCCTGGACTCCCAACCGTAACACCGACCCTAATACCAAAACGTCGGGAAAATAGGTTAGTATAAGTTATGTCAAAACTGTAAGGGTCTGCATGCTAGAGGTAGTTTATTTACAAGTTTGATTAGAGGCACCCGTTTCTATGCAAGGTACCGGTTTGGTTTTTTTAACCCGTTCATGGACAGTATAAATAGTTCTTTTTAAAACGGTGGAACAGAAACAGAAGTACACCAGCCGTAATTTTAGTGACACCGCCCCGACAGACCTTAATCATCTATTGCGTACAGCGGTACCGACGACGTTGTTATGTCGTGTCACGACTTAATTACTCCACAGTCTGTCGTTATTGTGGAGTATATACATTTAGTAGCAGTAGAGGTCCTTCGTCCAAAGAACTACTGCCACCTTACCTATTTCTGCCGCCAAGCAGTAATGTAGCATTACTGTGTTGCGGTTTTGAAGGGTGAGGGTACTGGTGAAATTACAGGCACATGGGACTTATCAACTTATGTCTCAGGGTGACTGGCGCAATGGCAGTGCCCCTCAGATCTTTGCGATTTAAAGCCCTGAGTGTAAGGCACTGCAACTGTTATGGACAGGCGTGTAGCTTACCATCAGGCGCACGACTTGTTCGTCCTTGAACTTGATATTATAAAAACAAGACGATTGAGAGTATTAGGGGGTGGGTTAGGGAGTCGGTTAGGTGATCGGTTGGAGGTCGGTTAGGGGGTTGGTTGGTGAGTCCGTTAAGGGATTTGCTTAGGGGATCGGTTAGGTGGTCGGTCAGGGGCCCGGTTAGGGGTTGGGTAGGGGTGAGTGACCCAACCCCTAACCCAACCCACCCACTCACCGACCCCCTAGCCCACCCCTAAGCCACCCGCTGACCCCCCCTAACCCCCCAATCCAAACCCTAACTCACCCCTAACCCCCACAACCCAAACCCTGATCCACCCCTAACCCCCCCAACCCAAATCTCAACCCCCAAATCCTTACCCACCCCCATATGCCCTATAAATTTATCATAATTGTCAGTTTTAATTGTAAGTTGTTAATCAAAAACATTGAAAATTGATTCGTTGTTAATTGTAGATATACGCGATTAACGATTGATCAATCGTTCATTGCTGTTTCGCAATTGACAATTAATTAACTGTCAATCTTTAATTGCGAGAACAATTAAATTTTGCCCAACACTGCTATAAGGTATGCAAGAATGGGTCTTTGTAACTTGCATATAAATAATTAAAAATTTTATTTGTGCCGTAGTGCTTATACAGATATAATATAATAATTTACGCTATATCATTCGCTGCTCATCACATCAACATTGTTGTAGAGAAGAAAGTACGGCTATGACAGTAGTAGAATAATTGCCGTTGTGTCATAATATTGAATTACTAAAAACAGTATGCGTTTTAGAGGAAAAATTGGTTAAAACTTAATTTTACTGTAAGAAAATTCAATAGCACCGACATATATTTGGAATTACAAAACGCCAGTTTCCACACTACTGTCTCGTACCTACACACCTTAAATATGTATGTCTAATGTCCACAACTGTGCATGTGAAATATTGAATTTTGTCAGTACGTTAATTGTTACTTTATGGAGATGTAGTCGGCGGCATTAGGCTCGACACACAAAACTGCGCACGACGCATCGCAAGCATCGCGCTTTCCTTGGATGTTAATCTTCTTTCTGTTTTTTTCCTGTACTTTATTATGAACAACAGCAGTGCAACACTCTCTTTCCGATCCATGTCGCTACCTAGTTTGAAAAATACGTTCAGTACGTTTGGCGATCGTCGAAGGAATGGTTACCCAAACCGTGGCAGTGAGATGCCTTGCCGCACGGAATCGCATCGCAGCAATTCGCGTCGCAGTTTTCTTGTCTCTCAGAAGTTGGATTTTTGAGATTCATGTAGCGAAACGGGGTATGCCGTCACCAATCCAGAATGTGATTGGTGACGGCATATTTAATATTAAGGTAAACGCCGTTACTATCCCTGAATGGCTTGGCCTTTATTGGTCTCGAACCATTTATAGACAAAGCATACAGCCCTGGCAAAGTTCACTTTGCTGAACGAGAGCACACACATCTCTAGAGATGTGTGCCTACAGAGCAAGGGTCTTGAGCATTCTAAAGCTCTGATCGCTGCATACAGTGCTAAAAATTGTAGAGAAGCTCTGTCACTGGACAATAATAATGACATCAAAATACTAGAGCCTTAACAGGGCAGGGCAGAGAAAATATATATTTATTTATTTATTCAATTTTGTGTAATTACAGATTAACTATTAGTTAAGTACAAGTTAACTACATTAAGCGAGAGACTTAAGCGAAACAGAGTGTAGATTCTGCCACGAAGTAGATGAAACTCCTCTGTATCTTTTTAGCCCATGCTGCCCCCTGATGGGCGTACGAAGTCTCATACAGGAAAGACATAGGCCACAACCAGAGTACATAAAAACCGTCGCAGATATTGGATGCTGTTGGCCGTGGCTTCGCACTGTAATTAGTAGTAATCACAATACATCAGTTAATGGTCGCAGCATTGCATAGTCCATGAACGGGTTAAGTAATTAATTATGTAAGTCGAAGTCGTGTTCGAGATTATGTACACTTCATTGTCGTTGTAACAGCGTCAATATTCTGATGTCTTATATAAAAAACTTGAATTATATTTTATTTGAATTCGCAGATGATGGACAATCGTGGTCGTAGAAGCCAAACACTCGGACAAAGAAGTTGGATATACAAGTACCCACGAACGTTTCAAATTACCTTCACCGTATTAGGATTGGGAATATTTTTCTCTAAACCCATTTACGACATATTTTTCAGACCAAGGGACAAATTTGATTTTTCTGAACCGCCAACGACTCTGAAAGCGAATAGAGTTGCAGAACTCGAACAAGCGAGAGAGTGAAATGGAAGCCGTGAAGAAAGCCAAAGAAAGATTTGCGAAGTACCCTCTAATATACTCTAAGTGTTACAAAGAAGGTACTCTGTACGCAAAGTGTGTTTTATTCAACGAGGAATTGAAAAAAGACCAGTGTGCTAAGGAATTCAAAGAGTTCAGCGTTTGTTTGCAAAAGGCTGCTAAAAATATGAAAACTAGGATTTAAAGGTAGATTTAAAGAGGAACGATGGAAGTGAAACTACCGCGTTTTATGAAGTTGTCCTTGAAATACCATCTTGTTGCTGGATTATTCATTCGTATGCTACTGATTGCATATGGAGACTATCATGATGATTATTATGATGTCCCGTATACAGATGTGGACTATAAAGTATTCACCGACGCCGCGAGACATGTTGTCCATGGCGATTCGCCTTATAAACGACATACGTATCGCTACAGTCCCATTATAGCCTATATGCTAACGCCCAACATATTCTTCCATAAAAATTTTGGGAAAATATTGTTTTCAATCTTCGATATCTTAGTCACGGTGGCTGTAAAGAAATTGGTTGAACAACAGTTGAGCTTAACGTGGAAAGACAAAAATAAAGCATCCAAAGTCGCTTTGTACTGCTCCTTTTTTTGGATTTATAACCCAATGAGCATTGGTATCTCTACAAGGGGGAACGCAGATTCTGTCACAAGTTTCTTTGTTATTCTATCGCTAATGTTCTTACAGACAAATATAGTATTGGGACTGTGGAAATATGTCTGGTCGGGCATTTTGTTGGGTATTTCGATACATTTGCGACTTTATCCGTTGGCCTTCAGCTACCCAATGTATCTTTCCCTCGGCAAATTCAAGATCACGCATCGAACGCGCTTGGCAGAAGGTTTTCTGTGCCTTTTGCCTAATATAAAACAGATATTATTATCCATGAGTTGTATATTAACTTTAATATTTCTGACATACGGCATGTATGCGATTTATGGCTACGAATTTTTATTCGAAACTTATATTTATCATTTGTTCAGAAAAGATACAAGACACAATTTTTCTGTGTTATTTTACTACTCCTATTTGAATATGGACAATCCCGCTGTTGATGTAGTGAAGCTAATTGCGCACGTATGCGAGTTCTCAATATTGTTTGCGCTCAGTTTGACGTTTGGTCGTGAAGCTCAAACATTACCATTTGCCTTATTTTGCCAGGCTGTGGTATTAGTTGCTTTTAATAGTGTTATGACATCACAGTACTTTATTTGGTTTATGTCCCTTCTGCCGTTAGTTATACATAGTTTTGCAATGGAAAGTCGCAAAGGGTTACTACTTGGCGTTGTATGGGCAATGGCACAAACGGCTTGGCTTATATTCGCGTATTTACTAGAGTTTAAATGTATAGAAGTGTTCGTTTTTATTTGGCTTAAAAGTGTTATTTTGTTCTGTGCACACATTTTTGTGTTGTCGAAAATAATACAGTCTTACGTGCCTTTTCACGGCTTTGGATTGATTAAAAAAGAGAACTAGTGTAGATGATTTTTAGTCAATAACTGACTTAGTATATGTATAGTTTTAATGGAATTTTAATAAAAAATTCTGACTAGTAACCTTTTTTTTATTTTATTTCTAACAATCACTAAAGTCATATAAACAGCTACAAGTCACTCTCGTACTAAATAACAAAACAAAAATGCATTTCAACTTGTTTAGGAATTTCAGTTCGCAACGAACAAACGAAAATCCGTTCTCCATTTATGATAATTTTTACTACCCAGTTAATTCCAATTAGAGACGCACATTTCCAAAACTTATTCTAGTTTGAGAGGTACTAAGGCATGGAAAAAATCTAGGGGAAATTGCGCATGTGAGCTTGAAATTACAAGCGCAACAGATATACTATTAACCGCTAGATTAATTCGTAGCTTTAGATTACAGCATAATTTCATCATGCACAAGTATCCTTGCATGCAACTTGCTTAGTGTGGAGACATTACCTTCAAACACAAGCAAGTAATAAACACATCTTCAGTAAAGTTAACAGAGTTTGTGTGTCACAATCGAAATTTATAATTTGCTATGAATCTTCGCAATTCGATCAACGAAATATATTAGGCATATAATACAAATAAATTATGTACTTATGTAACTAACAACTAGTTAGCAATGCCTAGTATTCTTTGTAAATTGGTCAATTGTGCAATTACAATAATTTTTGTATCACCGCACTTATTAACACGGAATGACGCGCTGCGAACCACCACGGTAACGAATTTTTGTGGCGGGTGACTTGAGACTTAATATTCGAGTGTAGTAACCTGAAATATTATTTAATATTTCACAATAATATAGGTTCTCG